CTCCAGTACCCCTCCAGCCCCCACATTTCAACTCCCCAGACCCCAGCTGCCACAGCAGACATGGCATTGGGGTCCAGGCTGATTTGGCCTGGGGAGCCCTCAATAACCAACTCACGCCTCATCCCAGAGGCCATCTCTCTCTCTCAGTCTATCTATCTCTCTCCCCCTATCTCTTTTCCTCTCTCACTGTGTCTCCCTCCCCCCTTCGAGGCTCTCATTTTCTCTCTCTCTCTCTCTCTCACTTGGGCTCATTTGAAGGTTGTCAGGGATGGGCAGAATTTCTAATGTTCTCTCATAAAGCATGGATCTGTCCGTTTCTGTCAAATTGCTGAGCTGGAGGAGGAGAAAGAAAAACAATCATGAATCATTTCTGAGCTGACACACAGCAGGAGACAGATTCACCTCCCTTGATTCCAAGGTGGCCTACATCCAAACTCACACCATGCGCCAACTGGCTCAGCTTAACCTGCACTGAACTTTCCCTATTACCCTCAGCCCAGCCCTATCTCTATCACCTCCGTCAGCACCTTCAACCATTCCCTATCTCTGTAATCTCTTTCAGTACTGCACCCTTCCCTATCCCTGTAACCTTCTCCACCGCCTACAACCCACCCTATCTCTGCAACCTCCTTCAGCCCCTACACCCCTCCCTATCTCTGAAACTACCTCCAGCCCCTACACCCTCCCTATCTCTAACTACCTCCAGCTCAGACACCCCTCCCTAACTCTGTGACCTCCTCCAGCTCCTGCACCCCTCCCTATCACTGTGACCTCCTCCTAGTCTCTGAGATCTCTACACTCCTCTAATCCCGGACTCTTGAGCATCCCCCAATTCGCATTGTTCCACTATTGGTGGCCTTGCCATTAGCTTCCTGAGCCCTGAACTCTGGAATTCACTCCCTGACACTCTCCGTCTCACTCTCTGTCTCTCCCCCTCCCCATCTCTGTCTGTCTCTATCCCTCACTCTCTTGCTTCCTCTCTGTCTCTCTCTCTCCCCCTCTGCTGTAAAACCCTGAATCAAGCTGGGCATTTGTGCTCTCAGCCATGTCCCAGCAATTCAGTTTGGGGAGAATGTTGGTGCTTTAGAATTGACCCCTCTGATGTAAACTCTATCCTGATGGGAGCTGTTGACAGGAAGGGGTTAATATTGATTGGAAGCTGCTTTTCCAAGGCATTCCTGAGTGTTTGGCACCCCCGCCATGCTCTGTGCTTGACGGCAGGATTGTATTCAGAGTGGCGTCAGCACTGTCTGCCAGTGCTCTCTGTGGGTACAAATCGCTCTGCTATGACTCATGGTTCATCCGCTTTGAGATGCCCGGGTGCATAAAGAATGAGCTTTGTGCTGATGACCCTCCACACAGCCAACTGACTGTGGGATCTTGCTGTGCAGCTTTGTGGTCAGCATCTTGACCAACCCACAACAGAGGCTGCCCTTCTCATGATCAGTCTACCTCGTTGTCTGGACAACTTCCTGCATGGGCAGTTCTCTCCCTCTCTCTCTTCACCACTTTCACTCTCTCTCTCCACCCTTACCCCTTCACTACCTTCTCATTCTCCTTCAGCCAACCTCATCTCTTGGCTGTCCAAATAATCTGCCCGCCCCCACCACCAGCTCTACCCCGCAACATTGACCTGTCTGTCACAAATTCACTCTTCCTGTTCCCTCTCTCTTCTCTCTATCTATACGTCTCCATCATTCTTTCTCCCACTCTCTGTCCACATTGTTCGCTTTCCTCTGCCACTCTCCATTGGATGCCCCTCCCTGCCAATCTCTCTTTCTCTTTCTTTGTACCGTCTATTTGCCACATTCTGTGTCCCTCATTCACTATCTCACTGCATGTCTCTCCCTTTCTGCTTCATCCCTCCTCTCCGCCCTTTTTCCAATCTTGCATCTCATTCTCTATCCTCGTTCTCTCTCACTTCCCTTCCCCCCTCTCCCTTCCTCTCTATCCTCTCCATCAGTCTCTCTGTATTTCTTTCTCTGTCCCCCATCTCCATCTGTCTCTCTATCTTTGTTTCTTTTTCTCTCTGTCCCTTTCCCTTTCTGTCTCTCTCCATCTCCCTCCTTCTTTCTTTCTGTTTTTTCTCTCTTTCTGTCTTCCCCTTTCCCTCTTTCTATCTTTCTCACCCTGCCATCTTGCCTATTTCTCTCTTTTTGTGTCTCAACTATCTTTCCCTTTCTTTCTGTCTCACTCCAACATTCTCTTTCTTTCCATTTCCCTTTTTCTCTGTGTATGCCTCTTTTTCTCTCTCACCCTGTCACCTTTCACCTCTCTTCCTCCATCTCCTTCCCTGTCACCTTCTGTCTTTCTCTCGTCCTCTATTTCTCCTTGCGTCCCCCCCCAACCTCTTTCTCTCTCTCTCCCCTCTCTGCCTTTTGCTCTCCCTCACTGTTTCTGTCTCTCCCCTTCCATTACTGTTTCCTTTTATCCCTCCTTCTCTCTTGGTCTCTCTCAACCTCTTCCAAATATCTCTCTCTCTCCCCCTCCCTCTTTTCTCTCTCTCTCTCTCTCCCTTATTTTCTCTCTCTCTTGGTTTTTGATGGATGTATCACTGCCTCGGGCCACTTGCATGAAACATGTCAAGGTGTGTCTCTCAACCCACACTTTGCAAGAGACAAACTAGTCTCACCTTCTGAAAAGTTTGACAAAAACAAAGATCCCAACCACTGTCTATCTGGACTATGCGAACACACGTCGCACTGTTCCTGAGGAACCGCTCCTATTCATACACAAAACACCATGAAATTTGAGAAATTGCAGGCGTCGCCTTTCAATGCAGGAACAGAGAATAGAGGGGTTTCAGGGAGACAGAACAGGGAGAAAAACTCTCTGGACACTAATCCTAGGATCAAGGCAGAAACAGCGAATAGAGCTACAAGATTAAACACCTTGACGTGCCAGGTGATTTCACACCCAAACTACAGAAACAGACAGCAACAGCCATTCAGCCCCAGTGTGGCCATTCTTGGTCCTTTGGCAAGAATATCTCAACCCTTCTTCTGTGGCCCTGAAATCATTCCCTTTCAGATGCTGACCCAACACTGCTTTCACAGCCTCAATTAAACCTGCCTCCCCCACACTCTCAGGCAGCATGTTCCACACCCTAACCCCTCCATTGACCTGCCTCCCCCACACTCTCAGGCAGCACGTTCCAGACCCTAACCCCTCCATTGGCCCTGCCTCCCCCACACTCTCAGGCAGCATGTTCCAGACCCTAAACCCTCGATTGACCCTGCCTCCCCCACACTCTCAGGCAGCACGTTCCAGACCCT